ATAAAATTAAATAATCATTTTCCCAATTAGAAAAATATGGAAGTATTCTTTGTTCAAACAAAATGTTATTGAGAAGCCCAAGAAAATAGGTGGGCCTTAGAGATTGGCCTGCTTTTTCTCCTACCTCCGTCTTTCAGGGACTTTTGAGGGGGCTTAAAGGAGCTTCTAGCTTTCGGTGAAGCACTATTTTTAATAACACCCAGTACTGACAAGACACTGTCACTGGGCACACACACTCCCTCACTGTGAGTGGGAGTCTAAATCACTTAAACCACTTTCAACAGCAATCTGGAAATACACCATGACAAAAAATATCCATTGACTTTGATAATTTACACTCACTTCTGAAGCCTTATCTTAACTATACTGCATAAAGATACTAATTACATCACTATTTAAGTTGGTAAAATTTTGGAAAAAAGTAAATGCATGTATTCAACCACACTTACTGAGAAAATGACCTACACAAGCTGACATTGCTATTAAAGGAAACAGGAATGACAGGGTTCGCGATTTAGAAAGAAGATGAAGAGTTTCATTTGGTAGTGCCTACTGTGTACTAACGTCATGGAACTTCATCTGAAGGTGGCTTTAGTCTTACTGAAGGGCAGTAATTCCTTAAATGAACCTAGTCCACATATCGCATTACCAAAGAATACAAAGAAAACTAGAAGAGAAAACATATGAAGTTGTAGCAATATTATTGTTCAATTTGGGCTCTTTAGGTAACAATCTTTATCTGAAGCGACATCTCCATGAAAAGAAAAAAGTTTCAAAAACCTAAACCATTTCTGTGGAACTCCATTTCTTGGCTGTGGATCTATGGAATCTCTGCCTATTTAAAGCACTCTAGACAAAAAAAAATGAAAACAAATGGTTTCTGACATGAGGAGGTGGGTTAGGAGCTAGATTGGAGGTCTCTCTGTGGTAAACTTCAAGCTCAAAATGAAAGAAAGCATTTTGTAAATCAGATCATCCGATTTCATGTTCTTTTCTGTGTTCATGTTCCCTGTGTGAGCCCATATCTTTAATAGGTCTTATTTAAATGCCTCCGGCCCAGTCTCAGTGGTGTTGAAATTAATAAAAGAATTATGTGTCCATATTTTAGCCTGAGAGAACAAGAGATATCCCAGGCCACCATCTGTATCTCATGCAGGTGTGATGCTGGCAAAGGCCATGAGCGAGAGACCCCTGGTCTAGGAAAGGTGGGTCTCCAAGGCCACGGTTCTGCTGCCCACTCACATGGAGATCTCTCCCTGTTCCCGCTCTTGAAGGGGCTGGTGTGGATTTGATTAAAGACAGAGTCGCGCCTTCGCAGCCTCAGGAATGTTTAGGAAATCATAAGGTTAAAAAATAAGAATTTGGAGAGATAAGTGAGTCTAGGGAAAGGAAAATAACTTCAGAGGCTAAAAAATCACACCAATAAAGACAAAGTTCAGGCTGTTGCAAATCTCTCTGCTAACTCATCTATTTTTCAGATGGTGGTACCTGATCAAAAGAATGTAGAAATGACTGCGTTAGGTGCAGAGACAAGTGCAAATCAAAGAAAATGTCTTTTTAATTTAAAGTAAAACAAAACAAGAAATATCCTAATGTAATAACTTATTCAAAGGAAAAAAATAGAAAAACAAGTATAATCAGTGCCATTAGTTGTTTTTTTTAAGAACAGCATTTTAAAACACCATTGTGACCTTGGAATAATTGCTTTCTGTAAACATGGCATGCAGCCAATTTCATAGTCGGGTCAGCATGTTATGTTTACAGAAATCTTGATTAGCCTAAAATCAAAGTGGCTTGGATTATGGGTCTATCCTATCCATCTACAACACGAAGCACATTAGTACATAACTGGATCACTCCCCTTTTATGTTCTCTGACTTGTGTCATACCATTTTATCTTGGAGTATTGCATGCATCTTTGTAAGTCAGCTAAATTATGTTCTGGGTATAAACAAAGAAATAAAAACTACTTTTTCTCTCTCAGTACTTATTCTTTCTGAAATACTTCTTTTCTCTGATAACAATGACTCTTACCTTAGGTTGTTTGCAAAGATAGCGGCAAAGTTCTCCAATATACTGAAACACAGTCACATTGTACTTCTTGCAATCGCTCCAAAACTGGCTTGCTGAGAATTTCTTCTTTAACACACAAGTGGCACCTGTAAGAAAAGACAAAAACAGACATTAGGGGAAAAAATTCAAGGGCGGAATTATCGTAAAACACAAATGATGTTACTCTGGAACGTATTTGCTCACTTTCAAGCATTTATAATTCATCATTGATCGTTTCCATCAAACTCATTTAAAAACATTGATCTTATTTTTAATGCACTCTTTATAAAATTCATGTTGTAATTCTATATTTTGACTGAAAATATGCTTGTTGCAATACACAAGATGAAAGCAACAGTCAAAATAAGTAGGAGAGTTACAAATATTAAAGCATGACCATAGATAAGGATCACGGATAAGAACATGATCATAGAAAGTCATGTTCCTTCCTCATACAGACCAAGAATATTCAGTTACTTTTGACCTTGAATATACACATACTATTTATTTTTAAAAGCATAAGGCAACTTCAACATATCTCAAGGTGAGGAATTAGTAAGGTAGAGTTAGTATGGTACCATAAACAGAAAAGTTCATCAATAACTACAGAACCTAATTTTAACAACACAATTTTAACAATAATGTGTGTCCACAGAAAATTTTAATGTCTTGACTTTCATCTTTACTTATGGTAGATATTGATCATATTCTAAATAGGCTCTTCTAAAAAGTTACTTTATAGTATTTTAGACATATACAAGTAGTAACAAATGATCTCTATTTATATATTTTAGGTCTAGTAACTGACACATACCATAATCTTGCATGTTTATGAATAGAATCTACTGAGTCACAAGCTCTACCAATTGACTTGTTGAGTGTCTGGGGTAGACTGTTTACAAAGATGACCTCAAAAATTCCTTCTAAGCACTTCCCTTTGCAATGTAGATTTGCGCCTCCTCCCTTTAAGAGGTAGGGTCTATTTCCTCATTCCTGGACTCTTGAATCTGGGCTGGCCCGTGACTTGCTTTGATCAATGAAATGCAGGTGAAATAATTTATGTGCCTTCCAAAACTAGGCCTTAAGAGTCATACAACTTCCACACGTGCTCCCTTGGAACACTCTTACCACCATTTAAGGAATCCGGGGGTAGACTATCCGAGGAGGAGTGACCACACGGAGAGAAGCCCAGTCAATAGCCAGCTCCAACTGCATAGCCAAATCCCCAGGCAACTGCTCTTTTCACTTCAAAAATATTCTGAATATGCCATAAAATTGTGTCCTTTTAATAAATACTGTGTTGTAATTACATAATATGCATGCAATCACTCTGAATTCTACCGAGAGCATCAAACTTCAATGAACACTTATTCAAATTATTAAGCATTTTGAAAACTTATTTAAAAAAGAAAATAAAAACTCACCTAACTTAACACATCCACCAATTCCCACGAGAGCTCCTGAACCATGGTATAGAGGAAGGGTTATATAAACAATGTCATCAGCAGTACAGCCAAAAGCCCAAAGTCCAGCAGACCCCTGCATAGCCTGCAGCTGAGAAATGACAGCTGCTTTTGGTAGACCTGGAAGGAAAAAAAAGAACAGGCAATGTGTGTACGTGTGTGTGTGTGTGTGTGTAACAGAAAGGAAGGCCATGCTGGTATCAACTACTCTAGCATTGGACACAAAATAAATCAAAATATTCTTCATCCTTTGTAAAAGGGGCCGTGGTGACATTAGTAACACGCCTTTGACACGCTGCTGCATGGACAGCATCTCAATTTCTATGTAATCTTATAGTTTGATCTTTCTGGGTAGATCTAAGATTCTAGAAGTTAATTATAGCAGTAGCTCATGTTTTCTTTCAGTAGCTGTCTGATGAAGAGTATTTGGAAGGTAAGTTTTTTAAGTCCTCTCCTGTCTGAAAATATCTGTTTTTACCCTTGCACTTAAATGATAGTTGGTATAGAATTCTAGATAAGAAATTATTTTTATGCAGGATTTTGAAGGCATTGCTCTATAACATTCTGAATTCCATTATATATATTGAGAAATCTTTTGTCTTTCTGATTTCTTATCTTTTGCATGCAACCTGGTATTTTCATTTTTTCTTATTGAAACTTTTGGAATCTTTTATTGGTCCATGACATGATGATTTGTACTGGGACTGGTCTTATTTACCCATTTTTCTGGGAACTGTGTAGGCCTTTTCAGTCTAGAAACTCATGTCTTATAGTTCTAGGCACCTTTTAAATTTGAAAAAAAATAATTTCTACATCCTCTTCTCTTTCCCTTTTTATTTCTGTTCTTTTTGCTTATTCCCTTCTTTGATGACATTTGTTTGTTCTTTCATCTTTGGAACTCTTACGTTTTTGAAGATTGGACCTCCTGAACTGAGTTATTACTTTTATAATTTTTTTCTATCCTATTTTCCTTTTCTTAACCTTTTCATTTACTTTTTTGAGAGATTTATCTTCCAACCCTTGTGTTCTCTGACTATTCCTCTTTTTGTAGTATCTTATTTTTGTATTACTGATATTTTGTAGAAGTTATTAATGATAATAATTTTTTGAAAATTTCTCCTGTATAGCTTACCTCTGATTTCCCCAATACCTTTTTTATCTTTTGGTTTATATTGCTCTCAATTTGATCTAGGATAGACTGGTCTTTACCAAATCTAGGAGAAATCCTAGAGGTTTCCTCAAATATCTGATTGAGGTATTGACTGTCAGTTTATATTTAAAATGAAGACACCAAAACACAAAACAAACAAACAAACAGAATCTTAACTAGAAGTTCTGTGTGCTGAGTGGGACTTATTTACTAGTCTCGTTGTTCAGGGCATTTTGTTGGGGGATCTATTGCTGTCAATGGTTTTCAATTTTTACATGTGGGCTATTCAGATTCCTCAGTCAAAAATCTTGAAAAGTAAAATTAGCAAATTGTTAAAGAGTAGTTGGAGATGTGTATAGACTTTCTTCTATGCCCCGCTATTTCTTCAACCTCTGTTCTTCCTGGGGTTTCCAGAAGTTCAGGTTCTCCCGAGAATAAAGCTCAGATCTTCTACCAGGGTGGAGAAAGCAATCCAAGGTTTACAATTGATTCTTAAATACAACTTCCTATAAAGCTTCCTGATTATAATTCCACATTTATCTTATGCTCTTTGAGGTACCTGGTACCCATGTGTCGGAGCCTTTTTGAGGTTCTGTGGGAGCAAATCAATTTTCGTCAAGGCTTCACCTTAAGCTCTGGCTTCTTGGGCCTGTTGTGTCAGTCACTGCATTAATTTATCATCATCTTTTCTACAATTTTCTTGCTCCCCTCTCCAGTTCCATCATTCGAGTCCTGAGGGTCTAGGCATGTGTTCAATCTGCCGTCATTCCGTCTTCTAGGCCTGTTTGGTTAGAGAACCTTAAAAATCTCAGGGAGAAGCTGTCTGAGCCTGGACAGAGCAGTCACACACATGTCAGCATTTTCCCGCTCATTTATCAAAGCTGTTCTAATCATAGTATATAATATATATTCTACTCTCCAGTCTAAAAAATTATTAAGCATCAAATAATTTTTAAAAATAAGAAAAAATGTACTGTGTAATAGTAGCTGCTTACAATACTACCTATGCACAAGAAATTAGTAATAGAATATTTTTTAATCGTGTCTAAGTCAAGTCCCCAGCCATCTTCAAACTAATTACAAAAGCCTATTTAGCCTACCATTAATAACATTCAATTTTTCCTAGGAACCAGTTAAGTTTAACATTTCTTTTGAATTCTCACGCAATTTCATTATTCTTTTTTGTTGTTGCTATTGTTGTTTACCTTAAAAAGAGGAAGTTTAGTTACTTGATTCTATTTTATATCTTCTCCCAAACCTGCGATGCCTTGAAGACCTCCTGTTTGTCACATGACCCAGTTCCCCTACGGAAAATCAGAAGTGCAAACTACAGGTGCTTACATTGCGGCTGTAGCTATATTATGCTTCAGATTTGACATTTTACACAGGAATATAGAGAATTGTTTTCAAGTAGGTTAATAGATTTTTTAATCCAGGGGGATAGCTAGAAACTATCTAAACTAAGTTCTTCACTTTAGATATCAGAAATCTGAGAAGCTACCAAAGATTTTGCTTAAAAAAGGTGGCCAAATATTACACACTGAACAATGGGGATGTATCAGATGTTCAGATGTTCCAGTGCCCTTTGTACTACCAAACTTTAAGAAAAATCTTTTCAACTGTGACAAAGGCCAAATGAACATGATGACTTATCAGATTAAAGTGAAAACAATTTAACTTTCTCATCCAAGTTTGAAAGTTCAAGAGTCTGAGAACCTCATGTCTTCTTGCATGCAGGATTTCTCAGAGCGTTGCTTACTACCTGGCAGAAAGTTGCCCAGTACTGTTGCTTTGCAAATTTGTTGCATCCTTCTTAAAAAGAAGTGGGTCATACCTGTTGTTCCAGAGGTAAAAATATAATGACAAGTAGACTTGAGGCTTGAGACAACATGGTAGCTGTGTGGTATAGGCTCATCAGATGATGTGCTCAGTTTTTCTTTGAGTGAAATTATGCCTTGTGGAACAGAATCTTTCATCCCCCAAACACGGATATCTTTTGGGAGGTCTGGAAGGATTTCTTCTACAGTTCCAAGCAAGTCTGAAAGCCAAAAGTTTAGAAATAGGTAAATAAAACTTAAATCTCAAACCATTCACCTTGGGGTTACTTTTGTATGTTGAAACAGGGATAAAATATAAATAAAACACTGATTTCGTTCTCATGTCGGATGAATAATGTCTCAGCTATTTCATGGTTCTGTCTCAACAGGACTAAACTGGGGGGAAATTCAGTTACCCACCACCTGGGCGGTCAGTGCAAGCAGGCCGATCCAGACTGAAGCTTAGAGACTTCATTGCCCAAATTATGTTTTTCCCCAATTTTTTTAAAAAAAGCATTTTTATACTTTAAATCTAAATTCAGGATACCGCGTTAAACATTTTTCTTGAAATGCAACTCAGTAGCTAGTTATTCCAAAATCCTGTCTGTCTGCTCAGTCCTGTCGCGATGCAGCGCGTTCGGAAGTGTCCCCTGACTGCCCTGAGGCCAGAGGACCACTGTGGTTTAGGGACCGTCTCAGAGCCAAAGCTAAGTGAGGAGACTTAGAGATGCCTTTTCTTTTCTGGATCACAATAAATAAAGATAAAAGCCTTTGAAGCTATTATAAAATAGGAAAGAGAATGCCTTCCAGCAAAGGCAGTGACAGCCAGGGTGCAGGGAAGGGTGTGACCGGCAGGTGAGGGTGGCTGATGAGAATGGACCCACTGTCAGTAGCAATAAGATCCGAGGCCCAGAAAGAACCAAAGTCAAGCAGAAATGATGGAAGAGAAGTTAGAATAGCCTGATGAATGGTGTCTTCAGGCCTGAAGGACGTAGGAACCCTGACAAGATCAAGGGTCTGGGTTGAAATTCAAGGTTCAGAAAGGAAAAGGGGTACTTTTCTCAGGAAGTATCTATCTGCTGCAAGGATAACAAAGGAGCAATTGTTGAGGTGAGACTATGTTGAGTTAATCTGTGAGATTGAACCAGACCTTCTTATTAATAATTTGGCCATTAAGGTAGGGGAAAATGTCACATGCTCTGGAGGAGAGTACCAGTGGAAAAGAAGGGAGACAGAAGGGGTGAGTGGGTGCTTGATGAGGAAATATTAAGTATTAAGGTACCCTGAACCCTATGGGACACAAAGAAATAAAATGTCATCATTTCTACAGTCTTTTGAGTAAGCAAGTGAGGCATAATTTTTTCCCCCTAGAGAGACATACAGTTATTCATATTCTTTAAGTTCTTTTTAAATTTGCCACTCCCTTACTTTGTAACATGGATCTCTGACAGTGAAGTCCAACTTTTATATTCTACATGGCCACTCCAATTTTATTTTCTTATTCCTGTAATGTGTTATATAAGGTGTAAGGGTTTTCTGAATGCTACATTACTTAAAATCTACAGTAACATCCTTGGGAGACTAAACAACAACTGCATTGGCCTTTGGGAGTTAATGCAAGGAAAGCCAAGGGTTACTCAGCCACCACCAAAAGCTAAGACAATGCAAGGAAGATTCTCTTAGATCCTTCTGAGGGAGCATGGCCCTACAGACACTTTTATTTTGGATTTCTAATCCCCCAGAACTATGAGACAATAAATTTCTCTTGTTTTAAACTACCTGGTTTGTGGTACTTTATTCTAGTGCCCCAAGGACACTAATGCGCCAAGGTCACAAGATGGTGCGAGGCAGGGCTGGCAATCTAACCCAAGTCCAATTAACTCGAAACTATATATCACCTCATAACAGAAATTGATGGTAAAAAAAAATGCTATTAAATGTAAAATAAACACAGATCAGAATGCTCAAGTACTATACATGCAAATATGGACATCTAAAGCAATTATATTTTTTCTAATTTTTTTAAAGAAAGTTTTAAAAATAATCACAGGATATATTCTGCTTTGAATTTGAATTCAGAGTACTACATTAAACATTTTCCTGGAAATTTAAATCAGCATCTGGTTCTCCCAAAAAGCCATCTGCCCATCATTGTTTAGTTCTACTATAAGGCAATACATTGAGGAAAAACTCAAGATTTACTCTCTCAAAATCTATAACCTAGATTGACTGCTAAGAAGTCACAAAAGAAATATGTCAAATGGGACTAGGCAATTCACAAATAAAGCCTGTAAGAAACCAGAATGAAACACAGAAATAATGTGGAGTTGATATGTTGTAGGGATGGGGATTGGAAATTTAAATGTCTTATTAATTTTTATTTCTACAGCACATCCAAATAAAATAAAATGTAAGGATCCAGGGGGAAATACCTTGTTCTCCTTAAAATATGCAGTATGCTGCTGTATACAGGTTGCTTTGGCAAGGAGAAGTGAAAAACCACAAGGGATAGGGGATGGAGGGGAAGAGAAGTTACAAGCACAAAAAAGCAGGACAAGAAAGGGATCTAGACTTTCTTTTTTTAAATGTTAGTTCTAGATTTTGTTTTAGTGACTCTTTCTGGCATTTTGAACTCACAAGTCACTAAACGGACTCATTTTATTACTTTAATTTCCAATCTCTCATCTAGAATGATAAATTAACAGCACAAACTTTTATATGTTCTTAATGATAAATATGTTTAAACTGAGAAAATAAGCACTAAGCAAGTTACAACGTGATTAATTGTGGCTCCAGATCTTTGTTGGAATTGTAGAGCCTAAACAGCAAGTTTTTACAGAGTGACAACTTGTACGGCAAGAAAAAAGGAAGTGAGCAGGTTCCAAGGAATCAGAGAAATTACAGTTTCATTTTCTTTACATACTAAAATTAAATTTGTTTAGCTGAGACATTTAGAATTCTCAAATAGAACTTTTCCCCACCAAATATCTCTTCAATAGTTGCAGGAAATGCGGGTGAAGACAGTGAAAATCGAAAAAGAAATTTGAAACGTCATGTAGGAATAAAGAATCACGAGTTACTTTTCCCCGCCAGCCACTCTTAATAAAATGAAATCTTTTCAAGACATTTTGAAAGTAAATTCTGAATACTGAATCCTGACAAAAAATACCATTTATTTAAATACTTTAGGGAAACTTGACTTTGTTTCATGAGGATTTACGCTTTAGTGACACGTACTACCATGGATACCTGCAGAACTGTGAATGTCTCAAAAGAATGGTGTGTACCCTACTCCATCCTTCTGCTCACTGCACTGGCCACACACCACCCGTGCCGGATGGGTGCCTGCTTGCAGGAACTGAGCGCCACACTACAGGACCCACTGCAGATACAGGTCTTGATAGTGAACTACTGCAAGAAAATGAAACAGCTGGATTCTCTACGGGCTAATGAATCTCTCTTTTCATAGCAACATGTGCTTACAAAAATTATGTATCTTTTTCTCCTACATGCAAGGCACTGCATTTCATGGGGTTGTGAGTATAAAAACAGGTAAATTATGATCCCTGCCTATGATCTGTTAGCACTTTCTGAACAAATTGATTTCTTATTTCTACATATTTATATCTCTTGGCTGAGCATGGTGGCTCATGCCTGTAATCCCAGCACTTTGGGAGGTGGAGGCGAAGGATTGCTTGAGGCCAGGAATTTGAGATCAGCCTGGGCAACATAGTGAGACACCATCTCTAAAAAATATTGTAAAAATTAGCCAGAAGTGGTGGCACTTGCCTGTAGTCCTAGGTACTTGGAAGGCTGAGGTGGGAGGATTACTTGAGGCCAGGAGTATGAGGCTGCAGTGAGCTATGATCACACCACTGCACTCCAGCCTGGGTAACAGAGTGAGACTCTGTCTCCAAAAAAATAATAAAATTAAATATCATATCTCTTATTCACATTTCTGAGACTGTAAAATCAATGGACAGAAATGTCATAAATCCCTCTAATATGCCATTACTGTGAATTATACTATTCATGCTACACTAAAAATTCTTGATATTATCTTATTCTACATTTTTAAAAAAGCTAATACTTTCAAAAGTATGGGAAGGGAATCAATTGATTATAGCTCTTAATACACTGGTAAACATTTCAACTTCAAACTTTTATGCATTAATAAATCTAATATAAAATTCACCTACAAATGGTTAACTTTGGCTTTGTATATTGCAAAACAATATTATAATCCAAAGTGAAATTATAGATCTCACCACATAACTACCATCCTACTATGTAGAGCGGCTCAACGAGCTGGTCATAGAATGCATGGGTAGGCTATGGTTTCTAAGAAAATTGATGGTTAAGTAAGCAATGTTCTGAAGCAATTCATATTGAGATATAGATATTAATGCTTCATATAAGGCCCCAAAACTCATTTTATCATAATATACCAGATATGTTTACAAACATTAGTTTAGTAATAACCATGATAACCCTAAGAACTAGGTTTTATCTCCATTTTAAGGAGATTGAACATAAGGAATCTGAAGGCAATTGAAGGTTAGAAAAAGTTACCTAAGTAGGTAAATGATAGAGCTTGTATTTTAATTCGCATGTACTGGAATCCAAAATCTAGTCTCTTAAATTTAAGACATATACTGTATTGCCACTTGTTATAATTATTTTCAAAATTAGTAATCTCAATATCATTTGTTGAATAATTCTTCCCTTTTCCATTGATAGGTGACAGGTCATTCTGTGATACTCAATTCTCTGTCTGGTTTTGTGATTATACCATGCTATTTATTTATTTGTTTTTTATTTCAGCATACTACAGGTGTACAAATGTTTAGGCTACATATATTGCCTTTTCCCCACCCGAGTCAGAGCTTCAAGCGTGTCCATCCCTCAGATGGTGCACACCACACCCATTCGGTATGAACATACCCATCCCCTCCTCCCCCCCCCACTTGCCTGATACCCGATGAATGTTATTACTATATGTGCACTTAGGTGTTAATCAATTAATACCAATTTCATGGTGAGTACATGTGGTGCTTGTTTTCCATTCTTGAGATACTTCGCTTAGTAGAATGGGCTTCAGCTCTATCCAGGATAATACAAGAAGTGCTAGATCACCATTGTTTTTCTAGCTGAGTAGAACTCCATGGTATACATATACCACATTTTATTAATCCACTCATGTAATTCATGGGCACTTAGG